GAAAAACCCCCCCCCCCCCCCCCCATCATCGTTATCGCGCGCGCGCTGCCGTGTCGTCTCCACCTACCCTTCGTTGGCAACCCCCAGCGAATAAAGTGGGTCGCAGCAGCGGAACGCGAGTACGACGGAATGTGCATATTAGGAACAGAGAGCTGCATTAACTCACGCTCTCACGAAGAGAGACGCAAATGCCTGGTAATTTTCGCGGTGCGGTAAGTTTTACCCGACAGGGAAAACGATTTTCTCTTGACTGAGGAACAGATGGAACAAACTAACAAATCACTCTGTGTGAACCGAGTAGATAAATATAAAATGTCAAGTTTAATAAGAGTTATCCCTCAGATAAAATAACGTAAAATTGTTGAATTGTAATATATTATTCTTTACATTATCGGATAATCGACAAAATATCAAAATAATGTGCTATTTAGTATTTATTTTATTTTTAAATTGTCGCAAATGTTAAATAGAACTAAAAATAAACATTTCAAGATCAGTACAAACTTAATTCAAAATACGTGAAAATGCAAGCAAAAGAGTAAAGTGTAGAAATGACGGAGTGTAGAAATAAAAGAGTTCTCTCATTTTATGAAAATGCAAAAGTAGCACAAATAAACCGTGTCAAGAAGTTTTAACCACCAAATAAATACAAAACTAAAAACGAACTGACGAAAAAGTTCAAGTTAATAATTTAATTTAAAAAAAATGCAATGTATTTAACACTGCAAGTTAACAAGTCTTCTTTCAAGACATTATAAAGAAAATTGTTTCATACGAACTTTAAGAACAATTAATTATTAAATTATATTATAATCTTTCTTTAATTTTATATTGTATTTAACTTGCAGTAAATCAAGCGTGCAATACAAGAATAATAATTGAAAACAAATCTCCAGATTAATAAGAAATTTACAATTGTACATGTATATAATCTGTCAATTTGTTTTGACGGCTAGAATCTTACCAGCAATTGAAGGGAGTGAGATCAACGACATCCCAGAAATTATGACTTTCATGATTCTGCAAAAGAGCCGCCGCTAAGAGACTGATCAACGGCGCGCCCCAGGCAAACAGGCTGTACTTTATGTACGTCGGCGGGTCGTCGCGACGCGGCAGCGACGCCACGGTAGCGTACAGATGATGGCACATCGCCGCCAACCAGCAGACCACCGATATCCGAAGATATTGCAGACTCAGACCGAGCGAAATGCAGAGTTCCGCATCCTGAAAATCAATAATGAACATCATTGTAATCATTGTAATCGATGTCTGCAAAAGCCCATTATCTTTAGAATAAAAGTCAACGTTTCTTTGTGACGCAAACAGAGACCTTCAGTCGCTTCTGAAATAATTTTGATAATCCAGAAATTGGTTGAAACTTTAATTTAATGAAACGCTGCAATTTATTCGCGATTAAAGCAATGCAATTAATATAAATTAATATTTATGTGTTGTGTGAAAGATACGTGTAGATATAAAGATGAAATTAATTCTAGATTATATCGAAAGAAGATTCTATAATATGAATATCACAACGCACATTACACGTATAATTAAATTATAATATAAGAATAAAATTTTAGAGCTGACATTAATTTTGATACTTTTCCATGTTACAAATGCAAAAATTAAAATAAATTTCATTCGTAATTAAAAAGGATATAAATATAACGAAAACGAATCAGTATATATCGAAGGGCGAATGGCATAAGGCATTGATCGTATCTTTTCACTCGATTTATGAGTTATAGTGGATCATGAATTTTGTATATACGGAATCGTTCAGCAATATTTTTCAGCGCAGATAAACGTCACCGTCAATTTCCATGATGAACGGTGCGAGTATATGAGTAATCCAGGATAGTAGCCTAAACGCACAGCTCGTGGATATTACGAATATATAACCAGAGAATTATTAACGCTGAAAATCCCTCAATGCCGGTCGATATGTCTATTCTGCGTGCAATAATCGCACAAAATAATCGATCGATACCGACGTTAACAAACACGCCGTTGATTCGTTAATTTATGAAACAGGCCGTATTGGATAAATAGCATGGCATTAGTATTATGTGTAGTAATGATGTATGAAAGCTCTTAATACCCTCGTTGTACTTTCATGGCTAAAATAATTTGCCGTAACAGTTATGTAACACACACACACCCACACCATGAAATTCGATTCAAAATAAACTTTCCTGGATATCGTGCAATCTGTTTAACATCGTTGTAATACAAAATAATGGCTAACATGTTATTGTAACCAATTTCAAAGCTAAATAATTGCAATTAATTGTTATCCCACAATAATTCAGGTCAGAACATGGGCCTATTTCAGAAATCAAAACAATACAATTAAATTGATAGAATAGAATTTCTGGAAAACAGAATTTATTTTTTGATAAAAAATTTGACGGAATATGAAATAAAATTAAAAATTTGGAACTACAATACTTCAGTCTAGGCGTGATTTTTATTTTTAGATAATATTTTACTCTTATATAGATAAATACCGAAACTTAAATTTGTGCTAATTTTGCTACGTAAACTTAAAATCCGTGATAATTTTCTCATTAAGATGTGTACACATTCCAGTATATATTTAGATCATCATCATGCGACAGATTACTGTAACATCCCATGTTTTCTCTTATAATTAAAATAAACTGAGCCTCTTCGAGATGTATATATATTATACAAAATTAGTATTTATTTGTAACAAATCGACAATTTCCTGCAACGTGATGCTAAAAAAGAGATCGTTCACGGACTTTCTAGTATTAAATGATACTTCGCTGCATACGATACTTCTCCCGTCGATACACGGTCGCAACAATCGTACGTGCTCGCGCATCGAAACGGAAGTGGAAATAAATTGGAGGGTGCGCGCGGATGCCTTTCTGGAATTCGCAGCTCACGCCGGGATACAAAGGGCCAGTCTGCAAAGCGAAATTGCACCGAGCGAACCAACGATTTACGTCAGAGGACAGATTTTACATGGACATACGTCTTCAAACGATATTCCTCTGCAATTCTTGCGCACCATTAAACCCTCCGTCGCGCCGTCCCATTTTCATCTTATTCGAATGGACCGTCGAATAACATTTAGAATGCCAACTAAACTCGTACATCACTTGTATCCAAGTATAAAATAAAATCGGAATTTTAATTAAAGGAAAATAAAAATAAAATGCACTGTAACGTTAAATAAACCATTTTACATCAGAAACATCTTTTATCGTATGCAATTTTTTCGCGAATTGATAATCTATTCGATTGTTATTCCATCCAACAGTCTCGTTTCCAACATCCAGATGAAAAATATTTTCTACGTGGAATATAAAATTTAATTCTGCATATATACGCGATTGAACTGTGCATGAGGAAAATCAAATTATGTTATTAGTACTTCCGGCAAAATACCGCGGCGAAGTAATATAGCGCAGTTTATCTTCGCTTTCTCGAGTCTCGATATATGAGAACTCTCTTCGGGAATTTCGTTATAACGCGAATTCGTAACACACACGAAACTCACCGCGATGTAAAGTTTCAAGTTATTTCTCCTGGTTGTCGGGCAACATTCTTATTCGACCAAATTTTCGTTTCGGAATTCAATAAATTCTCATGCCAGTCTCCTCGAGAATTATTTCACGGAGGATACAATTCAAGCAGTAGTTTCGAGACAGAAGTTGCGGTACGCATGTAACCGCAGTTATTGTTGTCGCAATTTAATTTGACTCAATAATATCACCAAGCCGCGGCATGACGAATCGTTCTTACAACAACACGACCGCGCTGAAATGAATTCTCGCACGTAATGAAACAACATTCGTCGCCCTGAGAATGGTGTTATTGTTACCGGTATGAAACATTGACGAACTAGTTTGATGTGGTTGCAGCTGCGAAAATGTCGAGAAACGTTACTGGAAATAATTTTCAAAATGTCGACCAGAGCGTAAAATTCCAGTCACAGTTGTATTTGCCGTCGTGAAGTGAAGAAATTTGTTTTTAGCATCTGCAGCCCCCTATTCCGTAACTCTTAACGCAAGTTTCGTTATCGTTATACAAGTAATGTCGTTATCGTTATACTTGTAATGTCGTTGCGCAGCTTTTTTACTATGATAAAAAAAACATGCGCTACGATGTTACATAATAAAACTAGCGTTAAGAGTTACAGAATAGCCCTGCTGGTCTTGGTAAATCGCATCATCTTGCGAGGAAAAATAATTTTATTACGGATGTCGGGAATTAACCTAACGTGGGTTTCCAGTTCGCGTTAATAAGGTTAACGATGAAAAGAGACTTGAATTTCAAACTGGCATCGAGTTAAATCAAAGACACGACTGTAACGACGGTGTGTAACTCGAGCATGGAGTCTGACATATCAACGGTATGAAACAAATGTCGCGTAATATCACTTTCTCGAAAATATTTTCCGCAGGTGCATCTGGCATGGTAATGTTTTTGTAAAAAAAAAATTTTTTTCCCGTAAAACAAATATTTTTCTAAAAAATAAAATCTTTCGGGCAAAAATGTTACCTCAGGCAAAATTTTACCTTGTAATTTTATCTGTTGCAATTTTCAACCTTCAGTCATCTGTAAAACTTATTAAATCAACAATAATAGCTATCAGTTTATCATATATATAAATATCATTATAGTTCAAAACATTACATTAAATGCTAGATAAGTAAATTAACGAGAGAATTATTTTTTTAAGTGCCTCGACAATTGATAGCGCAAGAATTAAATCATAAATCTAGACTTTAAAACATGCATGTTTTCAAAACGATAAAATAACAATGTCATTTTTTTTTCTATTTTACAGTTACACGATGAGTGTTTTATTTATACCTTCACCACTGAAATCACTCTTTTCTCTTTTCGCTCAAATCACCGTGGCTTTCGACGAGCTTGCGTAAAATCCAGATAGACTCGACTAGTCTATTGAAATCTCCAATTGATCGAACGAAGTACTCTAGATGGGATTAAAAAAATATCGAAGAGAGGATAAAAAATCTTTCAAAGAATCCTGAATTATTTTAAAGCTACGTCACACGCACGATAGTAAAAAAGATGGTTGAAAAGCATGTGAATTTGACTTGGTCGTCTTTCAGTACGTGAGTAATCTCTGGATTATCCTCGTGTCTGAGAGCCACATAGGATGTTGAACGACAAGTGTTTGATCTCGTCGTCAATGAAAATCGATACCTCTCCGAGGTGACTTCAGAAAGGAAGATTGCTTATGGATATTAA